TATACCTAAACATGTCATAAAATACAGGTACGAATACTATTCATACGGAATGCTCGTGTTTATGAGAAAATAATAAATATACACAACATATGAAAAGACATTATGAAAACTATCGCTACTGTTGTGTTGGGTATTTGATCTTTTAGAGCACAGAATGAACATCTGATCGTTGAGTCATTCAGTCGGTGTTCTCTCACCGGTGAGAAAGCAAGCATAGCGTCGTCCNTTTGATCTTTTAGAGCACAGAATGAACATCTGATCGTTGAGTCATTCAGTCGGTGTTCTCTCACCGGTGAGAAAGCAAGCATAGCGTCGTCCACGAGAATGTGGCACATCTGAGGAATGGCAGTGGGAATCAGTGCACCACCACATTCACCACAGACACTATCACTCACAGACATACCGAGCAAGCCATTCAGTACACATCGACATCACAAACAGCTATTTATATAAACAAACGTAAAGGATGTCGCGTCTTATTCTTAGCGCTAATCTGATTAACTCGAAAACGCTTACCATTATTACCATTATTATTGTTAAAGTTTGGCGAAACACCATATGATGTCAAATGATATACAGACGGATCTGTAAAGAGTGGTGCAGTGGTTGATAATTGGTTTAAGTTGGGGATACACTGTTCCTCATAGGGTGTATAGTCGTAATTATGAGCCATATTATCAACAAATATAAAGAATTGGGTGAATGGTGCACGTCAACAATTATTGCAATGAAAAGCAAATATTATCTTAAATATTAATCTCTAATTTGAGATTTAATTTTACAAATATTCACGGATACATCTATTAAATGAATGAAAATATTAAATAAGTATCGTTTGCTTCATTCATCACTCAATGATTGCTTAAATGGATTGTTTCACAAGAATATTGGAATCAAATGGAACCACTGATAGATAGGAAGGTCTGGAATGGCATGAATGGTGATCTCATACCAGGCAGACTCCGGTATATTACGTGTGCAGCACTGCATTCGCCTATGCTTTCCATTAATTATCACCAACACCTGTGCCACAAGAAAATTTCCCACCGGCTTATAGATCACCGGCGATTGTATAGTATGTGCCGCACACTGCTATACAGACTCTGCACACAATAGGCCGCAGTTTGTCACTTATTATACACTTGTTTCGGGGCCTACACTGAACCGCAGCTCAAAATCAATAACTCTATCATTTGTGGCCCAACCACTCGAAATCAGTCAATTATTTACTCCACTATTTCCCGATATATACCAATGCATTACATTTTAAAGACTAATAACAAATGCAATGGATGCACATATTTGTATTAAATATTTCACATTTGCATACATATATCGTTTAGACAATGTTTGCGTTAACCATAACTGTGGTTATGTTTCTTATATTCATTGCAAACTAATTGACGGATATCTGAGGTTCGGAAGCAATGAGAAAAAGAGCAATAATGTGAATATGAATGAGAAAATGTATACTTATTTAACTAATTGAGGACATCTGATAAGTGATTTATAAAGTAAAACAAGTGCTAATATTATTGAGTGTTAATCGCTATCAGAAAACAATTTTGTTAAGCATTTCAGTAAAAAACAACTCATTTCTCAATTATTGAATCAACATTTTGTTACACATTATATTAAATACATTTTAAGTATATCTTACATAACTCTCGATCCAAATGCAAATATAATTCAATTAAAATCTGATTACATTCACTCATATTTTTCCTTCAAATGCAATTAAAGCGCTATATTTTTTAAACACATTTTTTGTTTAATATAATTAAAACATTAATTTATGAATCAATGATTGAATAGATCTCAAGTATTTGACACTAATTTATTCAGATTTTTCTAATGGGTTCGCTCAGTATTCGCAAGTCTTTTCTCATGAAAAGTTAATTTAATTGATATATATTTTAAAATATAATTAATTTTGTAATTTCTTTCTGCGTTCATATCGTGAGAAAATTGAGTTTTGAAATCAAAAAACAAGAAAAGGCTTTAGTTTTTAGGGTTTTAGTATATCGTGTCAAATGAAAGGAAAACATAATAAAAACACAAAAATAGTTTAACATATATTTCAAACGAGTCATACCTTCGTGGCTGTGATTGCGGTAATGTCTGTGATTCATGTGATCAGGGTTTTAGTATATCGTGTCAAATGAAAGGAAAACATAATAAAAACACAAAAATAGTTTAACATATATTTCAAACGAGTCATACCTTCGTGGCTGTGATTGCGGTAATGTCTGTGATTCATGTGATCGTAATGTGGCTGCGGTTGCGGCGAAGACAAGTCCATCGGGTGGTGACCGTCAGTGAAGGATCGGTGGCCGCGGGCGGTGATCGGCATCGGAGAGTTGGCCGACGCGGTCATCATGTGGTTCATGGGGTGGTCGCCATTCATGTGGTGTTGCGGTTGCATTTGCATCGGTAGACTGCTCTCCAGGGACTGCCATACATGCAAAACACACAAATCAACACCAAATTGCATTCAATGATCACATCACACCATTAGTCCGACATAACCACCACTTCTCAACTGGTCTTTGGGTCGACTTCTCACGAGTCTCTCAATTCATGAAACTCTTATCGCAATTCATATTTCATTTGACAAATCAAATAAAATTCATTTGAAAAAACAAATAACAATATCTAAACTCATTAATCGTTTTGAATGTTTTGAAACATTTATCAAACGCTTTAAAATAGTCATTCAATTAAATATAAGCTAACTATAAATATTACGACAATTCATGAATTATGATTGCATTAAATCATAAGGAAGTCAATAGTTTTGTTCATATTTATTAAAATTACTATAAAATTAAAAATATTCTCATATATTATATAATTAACATTAATATTCCTGAATATATTTAACTGACAAATGGTTTAAAAATGACTAAAAATTTCTTAATACACTATAACGCAAATGTATATTTAGTTTAATTAATTTAATTTTAATTGTGGGAAAAGCAGTGCTAAAGCTTTGCATTTGTTAAGCCTTAAGATCAATGACTTTTGGGTTAATAAACAAAATTTAATATTAAATGCTTAAGAATTTACAAAAGAAATACAATTAAAACTGAATTCAAAGCGATTGTCATTAAATTAATGTCATTTCGTAATCCGTGTCTCAAAACTAAACGCTTTGCATGAAAATCGCCAAAAGTTTGCATTAATTGTCAAAATCATAATCAAGTGAAAGACATGGCTTTAATTGGTGGCTAAGCATGACATCCATGGTAACCACTCGTGAAATGGTGTGATCGCCGGTATGATAGTATGGCATACAGTGGAGGACAGTATGATAGGACAGACATACCCGCATAGTGTAGTGGTCGGCGGCGATGGTGGGACTGGGAGTCTGGTTGTAGTGGTGGTTGTGGTGACCAGTGATGGGACTCACGCAGTGGTAGGCATGCGATGGGTGTAAGACATGGCCTGAATCGTCGTAAACGCCGTAACCATACTGTGAACCCTATGATAGTCAACACAATCACACGTTAATCACAATTGCTTTCATAAACACACAAACAATGATTCAGTTGTTCAAAGTAGTGACAATTGATAGCAAAAGTTAAGACAATTGATTACATGATATATGAATCAATTGATTTGATCCGAGGTGTGCACAGACTTAGAGACACATGTCATGACACCCAGCAATGGATTGCAGTAGTGAATACAATTAGCACTAAAGACAATGTGTTTATGAAAAATGTGTTTATTGTTTAGAAAAGTGTATAAAAATCGCATAAATGGTTGTGAAGTATAGTATAGTTTAGCAAAACATCTGTCCATTGAATCTATGATGCATTCAAACGATCCGTTTTTCCATTCAATTCAATGCATTGATAGACACAACGGAGTGATGGCAGCGACATCTCCTGACATACCCTTCACTGGACAGTAACGCAGCGTTAATGCCATACCAGTGCTACTGTACTACCAGTGCTCTCAGTCAAGGAATGCAGAGATGAGTGAAGAGAGCGATGAGAGCGAAAAATTCTCACGCTTTGGGGGGTTAGGAGTGGGGCGTGGGAACGGAAATGTGGGGGTCAAGGCCTACAGCACTGGTCACTGCTACTGGGTATCACCATCGCCATAACCAGGCTAATTATTACATATACATGCATTCCTCCACTGCTATAGTGGTGGTCATCACTCACCACTAAATGTTATCATACTATTGTCATTGCTTTCCAATAACTCTTTATCACCAAAAGTTTTGACACTTTTTTCAGTCAAATGCAAGCAATTCGTAAACTTTTTAGAAAAAGTTTGTGATAACACTTAAGTGACAGAATTGCACAGAAATTTAAATATAAACTAATTTGTGATTTAAGAGTAATTTCAGTGTTGCTTCCAATGAAACTCAACTAATATTAGATTTGTTTTATCTGTTTTATAGTAACCTTACAATAAATATCCTACAGTTAAGGCTTAAGTTTGATATATGAATGCTTTCAATGCAATGACATTTAGCATAAGATTTTGTTTATTAGACAATCATGTGTTCAAAACATATCTGTTTTGCAATAAATCATATTTTGTGACAAAAACTGATATTTTCTCATAAACTTTGGATTAGTAAACGAAATGCAAAGACAATCACTCATATTGAATGTGTATTAAAGAAATGAGTGTTAATTTAATTTGCAAAATGCATACAAAGTTTGTGCAATAAAATGCAAAAAATAAGAGTAAAAAAGTTGATAAAAAAAAGTTTTTTCAGTAGAGATCAAGTGTTTATTGGCATTGAATGTCATTTGACTTATAATAGCTGTTATGCAAAGCACTCTCATTATAGCAGAGATGGCTATAAAAAGATTTGGTCCAAACTTTTGGATGCAATCGTTGCCAATGAGTTGTGCGAAGAAGTCTCATGAGATTCACAGCACATGAGACGCGAGAGAGAGAGAGAGAGAGAGAGAGAGCTGTAGAGAGAACCTGATTGAGTGGATGACTACTACGACTAGTGTTGTGTTTGTGTAGTGTTTGAGTGAAACGTCACTTGAAATCATGTGTTCATTGAATGAGTGGTTGTTATGGAAAATGGCGATCACTTCAGACACACAAACAAAGCACTGGATCTGCGCTCAACACTAAGACACCACTCGTGAGACGAGCACTAAAGACGTTATCTCAGCGACAGTATGTCTGCGAGCGTACAGATGGACGACGAGATGTACACCTCTTCAGAAGAGGAGTGTTTCGGCGATTACTACGACACACACGACGACAATGAAGACGAAGAGCTGGACATGAGTTGGCGTCGGAGGGACTCCGAGTTCTTTGAGTACGAGTGCCTCACCATCGAAGAGGTGGAGAGATATTTCAATGAAAGCGTGGAACAGATCTGCGCCGCCATTCAAGTGAGTCCATCGTTGGCTAAACTAATGCTCCACACAATGGACTGGAATGTGGATCAAGTGATACATCGCTACCGAACCGATTGCAACAAACTCTTGAGGGACGCGCGGATCAAACCACACGCTCGCACGGCTTGCAGTCATAGTCCAGAGTCGAGTCAATCGATGCCTTCTTCGTCGAGTCACACGAGTTGTTCGGTGTCTTCGTGGACGCCACCGAACACCTCAAGCCTTGCCTACAGATCTCGCGTGAGTTTCGTGTTGTGTCAGGTCTGCTACCAGAGCTGCCCTCAAGAGTACCACAAATGCCTGAGTTGTGGCCACTCGTACTGTCGCGAGTGCTGGTCCAACCACCTGGAGGTGCATATCGTGAACGGCATCACCACTACCATCGAGTGCATGGCCTCCAACTGCCGAATCCT